ATTTACCGTAAATCCCTTCATTAGTTAGATTTTTTTTTAAAATTAAAGCTGTTGGAGAAACACTCTTAGACAATAAATTAATAAAAGTTAAAATCTAAATAGTTTTTAGACAGAATTTTTCAACTTCAATTCTCTCCCAACAGTCAAGATTTAGAAAACCACACAGCAAAATAACTGCTTCTATTAAAGCGTAAATGACAATACTGATACAAAGACCTACAAACAATACAAAACAATGTATTTTTCTTCATTTCTAAAAGGCTTTTCATACAGTTTACAATGCCACCTTAATAAATGGACTACACAACACTACTTTACCTGGGAATGCTGTAAGTTGGTTTTTAAGTTACTTGTAAGCACACATTGTGTCGCTTCGTCTGGTCTGCCGTCCCTTGTCTCCTATTATTCAAGGAGTTCCCAGGGCTCCATATTAGGACCACTATATATAACTTTTCCATTAATTTCCGTTAATTTATTAAATGCTGCGTTCTGCTTTTATTCAGTCATCTATTGTTATAAATTATCTACTGTTATCATTTACTGTTTAACTCCTTCAGTAGTACAGACCCTGGAATTTCTGCACTCATTCTTTGATGTTCTCATTTGATGTTCCCACTTAAAAAAAATAAATAAAAAATTAAGTTTGCGTTACATGCAGACAATTCCCAAATTCATGTTTTTCTCAGAGGACCAAAAGCTCATCTTAAAACTTGCATTTTTGTTAATTTCTTTACTTATGTTTGTATTTGTTGCAATCTGCACTGCCTTCTTGGCCTTGTCTCTCTTAACAAGACTGTTTTAACCTCAGTAACACTTTTTACTTTGATTTTTAAAAAAAAGAAAAAAGAAAATCTGAATTAATGAAATAAAAGGAAACATTGATCTGCTTGAAGTTATCAAATTTCGGATGGAGGATGTTCAAATTACAGTTTTCCATTGTTTTCATGTTTGGGAATTGCTGCTTTGGATTGTTTTGTTTTTTTTAATTAATTTAAAAATATGAAGGGAACTACAGTGGGTCCCTGAAGTCTTGGGCTCCCGTTTAAAGCTGCTGTTTTTGCAACAACATTTATTCAAAGGAAATAAACCAAGTTTGCATTTTGGATTTGAGATTTCAGCATTAAGAAGTAATGAAGAAACAATGAAATGACAAATTAATTAGAAGTTAACAAATGTTTGGCTCTCAGATATGAAAACAGGCTGAAGAGATTTAATATCTTAAGAGGATTAACAGAAAAGTTATTTGCTGGCACGATGATGATATTTTGTAATGCTTAAAAGACCAAACATTTAATTGGGGAAACATGACACAAAGTAATAATGAATAATAGTGAGGTATACCAATTATGAAAATTGTATGGAATAAAGTAAACTGTTACGTCAGTTTTTCAGCTGCCATGCAGTATTTAATCCAGTGTTAAAATGTTGAACCTTCTGTTGCTGGTGACCATTATTAATGACCTTTCTATTTAGATATATTACAACATATTCCATAAATATGGGATGATGATATATTACAAATGCAAATGGACAAACAGACTTAATTGGGAAACAGCATGTTGTAAATCATTGATTAAAAAGGTTTAACTCTGTACTTTGTTGTTTTCCATAAATTCATATCACTTCGGTGTTTTACTACACATCTGATTTAGGTTTTTTCTTGTTAAATTAATGAAGATTTGTATTTTTGTTACATGCAAATGTTGATTTATGTCCACATGAACAAATGTTTTGCATTATGAATTGATTTATGATTAATGTACAAATATTATGATAGAATATTGCATTGTATTTGGAACAAGCATGTTCTGTATTCTGTGTTATTATTCACTCAAACATATAATAAACATTGCAGGTGAAAAAAGACAGATGTTCCCTTTTGGCTGTGAAGGATGTACTTAAGGTTTCTTATTTTGTGAATTAAACTTTGTCATGTGATTTTTTTTTTTATTTTAGAAAATAAGTCATTGTAACTGCAGCCATCTCACTGTCCTTAAACACCATCTTGAAGGTGACAGAAATGAACACATAACATTACTATGAGACTAAATACACTCACCGGCTACTTTGTTGGGTACACCTGTTCATCTACACATTAGTGCAAATGTTTACTCAACCAATCACATGGCAGCAACTAAATGCATTTATGCATATAGACAAGATGATCAGCTATAATTCAATCTGAGCATCAGAATGGGGATGAAAGGTGATTTAAGGGACTTTGAATATGGCATGATTGTTGGTGCCATATGGGTTGATCTGAGTATTACAGAAACTGCTGATCTGCTGGGGTTTTCCCACACCACAGTCTGGAAAAGAGAAAATTGATGATTAAGGCTAAGGATATTTTTCCTACATTATTTTATTTTAGGTAGTTTTGTGAGAACACATTATTGTTTCAGTTAGTTTTGGTTTTGATAGTGAACACTTTTTCAAACCTAATTTTAGCTTTTAGCTAACTAAACAATAAAATAAGCTTGCCACCTTCTGTTTGCATTAATGTATGAAGCTGCAGTTGCATATTTCCAACAGCAGGGGACTCCCACTCTCCAACCACAGGTCGTCAAGGCAACCAGAGTGTCATGGCAACGTTGCTGACGCTTGAGAAAGGACTTAATACCCAAACTGGGAAGTAAAGCGCACAAACGCTAATTTAACTTGTTGACCAGCTACGGAAGGGTACATTTATACGTTTAACCAGTGCGATAGATTTTTGTTTGTTTTTTTTTTTAAAAAAAAAGCTGTGCTCATAGCCTTTAGAACAACATAAACTTTCTTTACTCCTTTTTGTAAAGCACTTACGCCGAAACACAGCTGGAAATCTTCAAAGCAGCGGATCTTCGATGCATCTGACAAGGCCAAAATCCTCTAAGGGGCGAAGCAGACCTGCTGTAGACAGCTCACTGCATCCAGGGGAGGCGAACAGCATCCACAGGGAGCCGGGGTCTCCTGAGTTCCGCAGGCCGGACAGAAACCTCCGCTCCCGGTCTCAACCCGTCATGTTGCAAGCTAACCACCTGAGCCAAGAGGAAGTTTTGCACATGCTGCAGCGTACTCCTGCTGCTCCGCCACAGTCCTTAAACAAGTACAAAGTCCTTCCGTCAATAGAAAAGAGAAGGCAGTCAGAGGTGAGCCTGCACAAAGACGTGTCCAACCTTAACCTAGCAAAGGATGGTGATGATGTGACCAAGGTCTGCAGCCCCAGTGATTCAACGGCAGAAGCTGGCAGTGGCAGTTTGCTTCTTGCTGTAAGAGCTCCATGCGGAAGGAGGTTTCAGCAGCCCTTTGACCCAACACACACTCTGCTAACAGTGAAAGCCAGTGCAGAGGCCAGGTTTGGAACCAGGTATGAAGATGCTTGCATTGAGACCATGGAGGTGCCACGCAGGACCTTTAGAGACCTGCGTATGACTCTGGCACAGTGTGCCATTCCTAACAGATCCGTGCTGTGCATCTCTCAGAAAACTGACACTATGGGGGGACAGGAGTAATATGTGTTCTTTGAGGTCTGTAATTGTGCATTTTGTAGCTTCACTTGGATATCTGAACTTCACTGTGCAAAGTTTAAAAGGCTTCTTTCGCACCAATCTGTAGCCTCTAAGATTTTTAATGCCAAACTTAGCCCAATATGCACCTTACTCAAGTAAAATTAAGCTTCTCCTGCTCAGGGTCTGTCTGTGTAGCAGAAGAGATGTTTTTCTGCATTGTGTGTTCATGAACCTGCACGGAGTTGTGATTCTTCAGAGTACTTTGAGATTATATACATTTCAGGATGTATAAATAAATGTTTCATAACTCTGGAAGCTCAATGAGCAAATGGGGTTATATATTTGGAAAATAAAATATTAACTATGTTGATTCTCAAAAATGATTTAGGTGGTCTTTACGCATGTAAAAGCGCCGTTTTGCAATCTACATTTAATAAATTTTAGTATAGCTCCTTTCAATTTGTTTTTCCAAAGTGTTCATTAAAACTAACTTATCATAATCAAGTTTTATTATTAAATGAAGGAAAGTAATCTTTTGAATCATTTGATTAAATTTAAATTAATAAAATGTATCCTTTTCCAGGCAGTTCATGGCATGGGCAAGCAAGTATAACATCTTCCAAAAAATAAGTTTAATGACAAAATGGTATAAGTTTTACATTCACGTTTGCAGTATGTACCGTTTATATTTAGAGTTCAGGGTGCCTCACATCCCACTAAATGATATTTACTAGTTTAATTGCTTCAGTAAGATTTTGCAAGCTGGAATTGTACAGCCTGGTCCTGAAGGCATCATCAAAACCTTATTACTCAGGTGTACTCATTAAAATGTAAGCTATTAGAACTACGCCAAGGAACTTGGAGTTTTTCACCCGAGAACTTTTGAATCCATTTAAGTTGCTTGTGTGTTTGACTTCACAGAAATGGTAGTCAACACCAAAGTGAGTCAATTAGTCTGCTTAACTGAAAATACAGTTTTAAATTTTAAATAAAATTAAGCTCAAATGTGTTTCAACAAACTCATAATACCATTTGTGCCAACTCTGGAAAATTTATTGAAACAATCACACAGTAAAGTTAAAGGGGGAAAAAGCTATCAGGTTTCTCCCTCTGTCTCTCTTTTTATTAACTTATTTTTTAAACTTTAAGTCATCTTTTCAGCAGGCTTTAACAAGATTTTTTTTTTTAAACCCACAAAAAAACTCAGCAACATCCTCACATGAAATTATGACTCCCGCTACAGTAAGACAGGCATTTTAAACTTTTAAAATGCTTTAAGCCACTCAAGGATAATTGATCAAACTCAAGTCATGCAAACATCTATACTAACTACATTAATATTTCACTGCACAAATAAATGAAATAACACTGCAATTCAACACTCTTGTATGCTTTAAGGTGACGTCAGTGAACAAAGGCAAACAAAATCAAAGTGCAAACTTTCTGTTTTGCACAGTTAACACACGCATGCATCTGTAAACAATAAAAGTGCAAACAATAAATCCTTGGGGGAAGGGGGGGTCATTAACATTTTAGGCAACATGTCTGGTTGTTGCAACTTCAGCTTATCAGGTTCTCCATTTCCTCCAGATTGGAGGTGTCAAGTTTGATGATTTTCCTGTCTGTAGGTGAAAGGAAATAAAAAAAGAGGATACGTCATTAGGATCTGGATTCTCTCAATTGTATCAAGCTTGAGTAAAAAATGGAACATACTGAAATGCATCTCAATCTGTTTTATAATATCCATGCTGTGCTGGCTGTCCACCATATTAACGGCAAATCCACGACGGCCAAAACGGCCGGTACGGCCAATGCGGTGAAGGTATGTGTCATTGTCAGCATTCCCGTCCAGATCAACTGGGAGTTCGAAGTTCACCACCAAAGACACCTGTTCCACATCAATACCTGCAATCCATGTAAGCAAAATAGTAAGTGCTGATTAGGGCTGTTCGATGTAACGATATATATCGGATGACGACATAAAAACGACTATTGTTTCATTTTACACTATTGTTTGTTTTGTGGTGTCGCAAAATAAACTGTTTACGGCAATATTTTTTCATCGTTTTGATGGTCACTGTAGTGGCTATATTAATTTCTTAAAGTTCTCTCTTTCGCTTATATTTTATATAACCACACTACGGACGGACAAGCGCCTGTTTTTATGCATTGTCGTTAGCAACAACGACGGTATTTTCCACATAAACCTTTCACATTAAAGCTCAAGATCCTGTTGAGACTTAAAAAAAAAAAAAAAAAAAACTGAATCATGTGAAAGAGTATGCAGAGTATTTATGGATGAGAAGCAAAAAAGAGCCGTCAGGTGCTAAAAAATAAACCTTAGACTCAAACATTAGAACAGGCTTTTCTCCGCAGCACGCTATGTAATAAATACTCAAAGAAAACAGTGGCCGGTGCAACTTATGTCTAAAAATACATCCTTTAATGCATCGGTTAAAACACTCGACTCCAGGTACACGGCGCCCAGCTGGAAACACTTCACGCAAGTCAAGCTGCCCGAGATTCACAGAATTTACAGAAAATGTTAAATCTTTGTGATTTATATCGTTATCGGGATGATAGATGTCTTATATGAGATTTTGGTCATATCGCACAGCCCTAGTGCTGATGGACAATGACTTCAGGGATCAACAGTGGTTAAAGTGATCTACACTGGCTCACTGATAAAGAAAGTTTTTTAGACAATTTCCCCACTGATGGATTAAATAATAAACATTTTAATAAACTGAATCTGCCTCACTTTAAAATAGAAGTGTCCACCGCTAGCTCTACATTAATGGGTGCACACTTACCACCATTGGTATCAATCATTGGCAATCACGCTGACATTCCCTCCCAGAATGAGTTTATTTTAAACTCTCACTTAATAGCCTTCTTACCTCTTGAGCACACATTCGTGGTCACAAGCACTTTCTCTTTGCCGCTCCTGAAGCGTTCAATGACAGCAGCTCGCTGCTCCACTGTCATTTCACCACTTAGCAATGCCACCTGATGGCCCTCTTTGGTCAGACTTTCTGCCAGCCAGGCAGCCATCTTTCGGGTCTAAAGAAAGAGGGTAAGAAAAGAAGTTATAACCACTCATACTTACAATTTAGACACTAAGGTTTTGGGGTTTTTTTTGAGTGGGTGGGGTGGGGTGGTGCTGGTGCGTGTGTGTGTGTGTGGGGGGGGTGGGGGGTTGATGAACAGTGCTGACCAAAAGTGTTGTGCTTGTGTCACATTTCTCCCCTCAATTTTAATAGCACTCTAGTTTTCACAGTCATACTTACTTTCTACATCTCACTCACTGACATATACCAACATTTGCACCACTCAACAGGTCATTTTTAACACGGACAAGCAGGGAGAGGCGCAGGTGGGTCCTCTACATCCCATTTTCCTACACCCTGCCTGGTGCCAGGTTTGGCTGGATCACTGTTGGCTTTTTTGCTTTTTACCCCTTAGCTTTTATAGCTCATCGCTCCTTCAGCCAGGTGAGTTAAAACTGATCATTTATTAAGTGAAAAGGTCACACGAGTCTGCTTTTTCTAAGCTCCAGCTTCCTACCTAGAGCTACAAGCAGCCACAGCCTGAAAAAAAAGGATATTTCCTCTGTCAACAAAAACACCGTGTCTTGCAGCCAAATAAACTCGGGGCTCATCATACACTATTGCTCTACTACTAGTACTGGTGTATTCAGCTACACTTTATCCGTAGATTAAAATTTAGGATACTAACTTACTGACATAAAACCCTTCTTTTTGTGAGCTCTCTCCTTCTCACGAGTTACAGTGCTTTCAGTGACAAATTAAAACCAATAAATCATAGTTTTTGTTAAGCAGCTTTAAAAACACCTGACTTACCTTGCAAAAGATCATGGCCTGTGCAATGGTAAGGGCCCCGTATAGATTGCACAGTGCCGTGAACTTGTCCTCCTTCTCTTTGCAGTTAACATAGAACTGTTTGATGGTATCCAGAGTCTCCTCCTCACGCTTTAGCCGGATTATATTAGGTTCAGGAACAATTTGCTCTGCAAACCTCCACACAGAGTCCTCAAATGTTGCAGAGAAAAAGAGCATCTGACAGTTCATCGGCAGCTGTCTGCATAAGTGTGGAGACAAAGTGTGACAAAAAAAAACTTGTTTAAAGAAACAACAAAGAATGTTAAGTCATTAGACTTCTCTTTTCAGTTTATTGTTGTGTACGTTGGTATATTGAGATGGAGGAATGTTAATGTGGCTTTTGATATAACTGAAGTGTTCCCTGTAGTACATTTTTACATTAAAAGAAACATAAGGTTCCTGAAATAAACCAGACTGATCTTAGTGGAAAGCAGAGCAGCACGTTGAAGCTGGTACTGCAGGGTTCAAAACTGTGCAAACTATTAAATGTAATTCAGAGATGGCATGTGTGAATAAAATATATTAATCAACAAAGAAAAGGCTGATAACGCCAGCAGTAAAAAATAAATTTAAAAATGACAAAGTTGTAGTTCATGGTGGAGCTGCAGCCTCTCCTCTCGCACTCACAAAAACACATGCAGCAAATCTGAGGCCTGTGACAAAGGGGATTTCCAGAGTCAAACAGAAGGGTTCATTACTGTGACTACAATTAGAATCAAAAGAGGACTGTGGTGGAATTTTTTACATTTGTGCTTCCATAACATAACACGATTAAAAGAAATCATTTTTTGTATGCTGGTCTTTAAGAGTTCCTTCCTGTGAGAACAAAGTCTCCATGTTGCTTGGCTCACATATAAAAATGTTAGCTTGCTCTTTTTGCTGTGAATCATACTTTATATACATATGAATGCTTGTATATATTATTATCAATTTCCAATTTGATGGGCCACCTGCTCAACAAGTTTAAATATGAAGTGATCTTTTCACTGACACTCAAGCAAAGAATGCTGTTTAAGAAAAAGTTAAAACGACAAGATTGTATGCAGATAAAAAATATAGCGGATATCATGTTAACTTGGCTGCCAGCTTACATCGTCTCTGCTCGCTCTTTAATGAGTTTTAAATGATGTGAAGTCCTCTCCATGACCCCTTTTAAACTCATCCCTGCATGCTTCAGGTTATCACACAGACACAGAGGGAAAACTGCTGTCAGCTCTCGCAAAGCATTTTGTGACATCAGATTTGAAGACTGCGTTTATCTGCACACAAGGGTTTTTATTCTAATTTGTTCTTTATTAGCTTTGTCGCCGCAAGAAGGAAATCAAAGGTGTATGGGAGGAGGTGAAAAGACTCCTCTACTCACACAGGTGGTTCAATAAACAATACTTATGTTCTCATTGTGATTTTAGGAACAAGCACTGATGCTGTAGACTAGAACAATATTTCTTCTCGTCCACCTTCACTATCATCTTGGCAATAATGCTGGCTCTTTGCAGACTGCCATGTGTGTTTAAGAGGAGAAGCTTCAAATACAACAGGATCATCTTCATTCCCGCTGTGTTATGAAACTTTGTTGAGAAAAGCACAAGTTGCCTAAGCCGAATCCTTTTTCCCACATCTCTCTCCCACAAGTAAAATTCACGTGCATGTATATTTAAGTACAAATGTGAGTGGAACGCCTGCACTGTGGCATCAACCAGTACTGTCTTCCTACTGTGTTTTCAACACCAACAACGGGTTCTGTAGTTCAGAGGTATATCTTTTATTTTTAAAACTGGCAACTGAATAAATTTTTAGTGAAGATTCGTGCCACTTTGTTGGAAATAAAGTTACTGGCCACAATAAGCCAGAAGCAGGCTAATCTACCTACTTGATGTGCTTTTGTTGGTTAAGCTGAACCTACTATGACTGATAAAATGAACTATGACATTATAGATTATGGCACCAAATACTAAGTAATTAAAAACCTGCTTCAGGTGAACTGTACTTCATGCCATATTTACCAGCCAGTGTTTGTTATTGTAAAACTCTGGAAATAAAAATATGAACATAAAGACCAAAAGGAGTGCACCTGTGGATTCGAATGCTCTGGTCCCGGTGGCCCTGGGTGGCGATCATCACATCAGCCTCATCCAGCACAAACATAGTGATCTTTTTGGGGTCAATGAGCTTGTACTTGGTACACCAGTCGTGGACTGTGCCCGGTGTACCAATGACAATCTGCTGTTGCAACTTGGCTCCTCGCTCCACTGAACACAATGCAGAGAGGCATGCAGTGAACACAGACTGGTGACTAGAAATCTTTTCTTCAGAAGAGAGTACAATTACTATCACATTCTTACTTCTATTTCCCCGAATGGCATATGCCAGCTTCACATCTGGACAAAATTTCCCCATTTGCTCAATGACTTGACCAGTCTGCAATGCGAGCTCGTACGTCGGTGCGATGCAAAGGCACTAAAAGAAAAATTTGTTTGACCTAGTGAATACATTTCAGGGTCTGATAAAAGGATACCAGCTGTCTCAAGAGATTGAAAATGCTGTGATACTCTGAAGATGTTCTGCTTACCTGAGTCCACTTATTGTCAGGGTTTACATGGCTGAGCATGGCCAGAGAAAATGCAGCAGTTTTACCTGTGCCAGACTGCGACTGTGCAATCAGATTCTGAGGTCTGAAAGCAGAAAAAAGTAGACATGAAGAAATGAATAAATCACAGAAAAACCTGATGTGCTGAAGCTTTGAAAGGTTTTTTTTTAAATTTTGACTGCTTTGATTTTTTTTATCATTACAACAGGACAAAAGTCCATTAAAAAATAATCACTACCTAAAGTTTTATTAAGTAAAAAACATACCCCATATCCTCAAGCCTCACCTCCTGAAGCCAGGGTTCCAACACACAAAAATGTGCACAAACATGTGTATTTACTCCCACCATTGTTTCAATTATTTGTTGTCAGCAGATTAGACTTGTGACACTTTCATCGCGTAACAGCTGACAACAAGCTGACTAAACAACAACAAGCTATTATAGGCTTACAAAATTATGCCTGCTAATGTTGGGCTTGAGTGTCCTATAATTCACCATTTCCTACTGATAAACAGTTGTATTACATTTCCACATCTTATGGGAGATTATACGCCAAGTGTCCCAGTCCAACAGCGCTGAATTCGTCAACATCGGCTAACAGCATTTATCAGAGGCAAAAAAGCAGTGCTGTCACAATACTAGAATTCAAAGTCAATACCAATACCCAGGAAATTATTCGATACCATTATTTAACGCCACACACAAGATTTTGACCCCATCCTGCAACACCATTAATAATGGCAAAGAGATCATAACTTGAAAAAGTTCATTTGTTACATTTTCAACTAATCTTCCCAATAAATTAGATTTAACAAAATAAGTATTTGAGATTACATTTAGAGGTTTTATTCATTTTCAAAATTATTTAAAGCATTTAATCACAGATCGAAGGTAAAATATATTTTAGAACCTACTAATAAACAACAGGTACAAACAACACATTAGCTAACACATCTAAATCGTTTTATTATTGTAGAAGAAGAGCATTATAAAAAAAAGTTACAAATGAACTTTGGATATTAGTTATGCCAAAATAAAAATAAAAAATAAACATCAGAAGCACTAGCAGCAGCATCAGCCTTCTTTCCTCGCAGACTAACGTCCACACAGCTGTGAAAAATGTTATGCTTTGCTTTACAACTTCATATCAGATAGACAGGTGCTGCTGTCTTTTAAGACCTGGCTAACTGTGGGGGGTCGGGGGGAGCTCCTAACATCAGAACCAACAACCACCTTTATATATAAATAAAGTAAAAACAATATAAAAGACTAATAAGGGCAGAAAAGTATGTATGTCCAGTTGACCAGTCACATACAGTTATGGTAGCAGGTATAAATTTTGGGGCATTGTACACTATATGCAAAAAAGAAAATTAATGGTTGTTCTTTTATAGATAATTGTGAAGCTTTTATGCAGCCATGACACTAAACAAGTATTTTATTCTTTTTTCTCAACTCGGTCATTTAATTTTCCATGATTTGCTGGTTTGGAAGTCTTAAAAATAGAAGCAAACTTGGGGGTGAATTGTCAAGCTGTGCCCTTAATGACTTTTTGCATCTGTATGAGCTTCTCAAAGGCACAGATCATCGTTTTGGAACCTCAGCTTCTCTTACATGTTGAGTTCCAGATGTTTCAATCAGGTTTAGTCTCCCAAAGGCAGCAGAAGTAGATCCAGCCTGTTATTTACTCCATCTGCTCTTGTTTTTAAGAAACATTTTAAACAGTTGTCTTCCATTAATTGTGGCAACAGTGGGAGATATTTGGATCATGTACTTTGTTTTTTTCATGGCCAACTGTATGTATGCATTTTGCTGGACTGTCTGTACAGCATTTGTTAATTTAAGGTTCCTATATGTAAGGATCTTTTAAAGAGTAATTAAATATTTAAATATTAATAAAATAGTGCTAAAACTGTTTGGCATAAGGCACCGTTATAAATGAACACAAGTGTGACATCCACACACATCTTTAAGATGAAAAAAGGCAAATGGTTAATATTTTTCTGAAATAAATAACTTAAAATTGCTGTTAAATACATCTCTTAGAATATTTATCAAGTTAATTGTTTTGGCACAAATTCAAAAGGAGTGAATATGAACTCACAGCTATGCCAGCACAATGGGCAGCTAGCCAACTAGCATTACCCAGCATGTCTTTTGGTGGTGTAATTTTCTAAGTGAGCAATTATCAGTATTAAAAATACGTAATTTATTTATTTTTTTTTAAATCACTATGCCCCATGTTTCCCCTGATGAAGTGTGTTAGTTTTAAGTTATTAATTGTTGTAATCTAGTAATTTATTTATTTCATATGATTAGAAAAGTGAGAGAAAAATACATTTAACACAGGACCCCACAGGAACCGTTTCTCAGCCCTACTAGTGGTCAATAATGCAAAATACACAATAATGTAAACCACTTAAAAAAACCACATTGCACGTTTTTTCTCGCCACTGGAAATTATGACTGTACGCCCTTAACACCATTTGTTGAGATGACAGCAAAGAGATGTCCATTCAAGTCCCATTATTGTCAACCTGATCATTTACTGAGAAAAAAAAACTACTATAAATTTTAAAAGAGCACACTACTGTAACATTTATGAATTTAAAACAGACAGATACTTGGGATTCTCCCCTCAAACAACTAATAAATCAAACAGATTTCTCCCTTCGCTACTAAAACAGATGACTAAAAATCTGACTTATTATAGTGTTGCATTTTCTAACTAGTAGTCATTTTCCTTTTCCATTCATTTTCTTCCGCTTATCAGGGTCATGGCAGGGCTGGAGCCTATTCAAGCTACCACTGGGCGAGAGGCAGGGTACACCCTGGACAGGTTACCAATATGAGGCAGGGTTAAAACAGCATTAGTCCCATTTTCATTTTGTTTTCAACTGAATTTGCCATTTCAGTTTAGTTTTTTATTGTTTTGGTGTTCGGATACTTGTCAGAGGCAAGATCTAAGAGGTTCAGAATAGCAAATTCAATAAAACAACACTTTGAGAAGGCAGCTTACTCATGATCACTCACGGCCTCATATAATTAACAAGAATCTCCACCAGAGCCTCACCAAGCTCAACAAATTGGACAAAACAAACAAACACTAAAATTAAATGGAATTCCCTTGTATCTTTGAACTTCATGTAAATCAACAAATAGAAATTTGAAACATAGTTTTTTTTTATAAATGGACTTACGGCTGTGCCAACATCATAGGCAAAGCGTTTTCCTGGATCCTTGATGGTCTGTTAAAGCCCATATTGTACACCCCCTTCAGCAACTCAGGCTTCCTATTAAAAATACAAAATAAGGTAATTTTATAAAGGTAACACACAAAGCGAACGAGCATGATGGAAGTTTTCCTTGCAGACTCACAGTCTCAGCTCCTCAAAGGTCTTCACCGAGTACAGTGGAGAGTTGGGGTCCGCCTGCAGGACCTCCACCTGGTTTCTGTTCCTCACCAGTGAGCGGCGGATTAGTTTGTTCAGCAGAGACTGCTCGGCCAGGTTGACTCGCTCCTCTCCCCAGCCTCCATTTCCGGCCTTCACGGGCATGATATTCCCTACACAGGTGGCAATACCAGCAACAACCATGACAGCACAATCATAAGTTAGCAGTTAATTTAGTTAGATGTGATTTTAAGGAGGAAAAACGAATAGTTAAGTTACCGTTTATGTCTCCTATCATGTTGCGTGGACCACGAACTCCACTGACTTTTTTGGAAAAGTCAAGCTGGTGAAAAAAACAAAATATGTTTGAATTTTTTTTGGCGCAAATAACGCAGCAGTGACAGCGAAGTCAGCGTTAAGCTAGCTAGTTAGCCCGCGTTTTGACCCAACAGTTTGGAAGTTGTTGGGTAACCTTTAAAAGTTACCTGTGAGGATGTAGCCTCCTGAACATCCACTGCAGCTGCCCAAGAGTTTTGGGACATTTTCAGGCAGTTTTTGTGTAGTTTTTTTTCGAGACGAGCAACCTTTTTTCTTTTTGTGCAAAAGTTTGATGTCAGCATGAGCGATGTGCGTGAGCGCGCCGCTGTCCCGACCTGAACCAACCGCAACCTGCTGCTGGACCACGCGTGTCGCATTCACAAGCGTTGGAAATATTGACTATATTAAAACTTCAGCCCACAGACGCAACTAATCAAAGCAACAACAAGCTGAACAGTGGTGCTTTCGCAGCGTTTCGTTTTGAAGGCAATTCTTTGACGTTTCTTTAGGTGAAATGTGTGACAGAGCTTTTAATCAAGTTCCATCCACAGATAGTTTATAATGTGATAAATATTTATAATAACTGCGTCATTTTCATATTTCTTTTTGTGTGATACAAGAAAGTAATATTTTCCACAAGTTTGCAGAAACATTTCGTTTGTTTGTTTTGAACTTTTAACGCTTAAATACAAGCGACGCTACATTTACGCACTTTCTGAGTGATACGTGAATGCACCACACTGAACTTACTGACACACCCTTCATAGAAGACGCAACCAATTACTGCGCATCGACAGGTATTTTACATTTTATCACTTAAACTGCTAAGTGCAAAAATACAGCACTTTATAATGTAAACGTGTGTTTACATACGTAATGTTTTAGTGCTAGTTTACTAAATGCGACTATTTTAATGTAAATTAACATTCATTATTTTCAAGCTAAGGTTCGTGTTAAAGTTAAAAAATAGATGGCAACGCACTACATGTTTAAATTTAATTAAAATATTTTCTAAAGAGCCATATTTTCTAAAGATCCTTGTTAAATTAATGTTAATTTAATCCGTATAGGCTATTAAGGGCACTTCAAGCCACTTAAATTTACATGTTTCTATTAAAGGGGTTTTTTCACACAGAAACGACCGTAAAGCGAGTCTGCAGTTACCAATTATATGCACTTTGGTTTACAAATTACTTGTGTTTTTGATAAATTGCTTTTTCACGAGCCCTACTACAGACTGGCAACCTGTACAGGGTGTACCCCATCACTTGTCCTACGGCAGCTGGGATAGGCTCCCAGGGACTTCCATTCAGCCCCAGTGGATGAATGGAAGAGGGTGAATGAATGGATGGATGATTTCTCAAGCGTCTTCAAAAAGTTTAGAAACCACAGAGAAAGTTGTAGCACAAGACCAAAAAATCCCTGTGTCACAACTTTTAAGCTGAAATTAAGGCATTTTGTTTTTATTTCTGCTTAATAAACAGCAAATTAATGCTTTCATCTTTCTGTCGATTGACAAATTCACTTATCACTTACACTCTAATACACAGCAGCTAAATTTGGCAGCTGCTTGTGGCAAAAGAAAGACTTCAGCGGTATAAAATGCATCAAATGTTAATGAGAAATTCCCGTCCAGGAGTTAATAACATGCTTAATTATCTTGTGTGTGTAACCGGTGTGTTCCTGCGTTGTGTCTGACAATGGAAGGTAAAAAGAAAGACCTCCAAGTAAATAACTTGCCCCCTCACGCTCCTATAACCAAATATAAATAGTTGGGACGAGGGTTAGCTCAACCCACTACACTTTCCAAGCTAGCCAGAATTGTCTCTTCATGCTAGCATTTACGGTGCCTGTACACATACGCGGCACACACGTACCACATATTCACAGCATCTAGTAAAGACAGCGGTAATGATGGTAATAATGAACTAAAACACACAATCAGAAACATCAGGGTGGATACAGATATAATTAATGTTGGAAAAGAAATGACACCAACCTCTCCCACAGGGGAATTGTAGAAAAGGGGAGAGGCCAAAGTGGTACCCCAAATTTATAGGGTTGCACCAAAGAGGAAGAACAAAAGGATGAGGAGGGGCTCTAACTGATAATGAAGATAATTACAGGTTTGTAGGTCCTAAAAGTCAAGTATACCAGGAACAGTTTGGGGTTTAGAACACATTTTGTGTAATTATAACAATATGTAATTTATGACCCAGTTACATGTGTGAGATGGACGAGTCCTCTAATTCATGAGTCAGTCATTTAAATAATTATTCAGTGCAAAACTAGAGACGGTTTTATCAGCTTCTCAAGTGTGAGGATTTGCCTATTTTTTTGGTATCTTGTGTCTTTAGCCAAAATAAGCAACCAACATTTGGGATTTTCTGACATCTTATAGATCAAACGATTAACTGAAGGATTAATCAAGTTAAAAGATGACAGAAGCAGTTTTTATTTTTGCAAAAGAAAAGCTCTGGATTGACGTGGGGTTTTCCTTTACCATTCATGCCATGTGGCTGTGAGAAATAGAGAAAGAGAGGTCGAGAAACAGATAGAAAGGAAAGCACGAGGGAAGGGGTGAGGAGGAGGGAGCTTTATTGGCTGCAGGTTAATTCAATTTGGAAGCGGATGTTGAGTTTCAGCCAACCCACACGCACACACGCACACAGACAACGATCTACATGTTTGCAACTATAGTAAAATGATTTTATAATGACATATTAATTGTCATGGTAACCTCAAGCAGAAAACAGATGGATATAACCGAGTGATGCAAAACAGAGAGACAGCCAAACGCCCACACTGGATTAAAAACATTAAGGGCTTTCCAATCGCACCACAGGAGAGATTCTAGGTGATATGAGGGAGACCTGTAACGCTGTATTTCCCACCTCTCTGCTCCTGGTGTTACAGTACATGTCAGTCACTGATCTCATGTTATTAAAGAGGATACCTAACACACTGTCATCGAGGGCTTGAATGAGTGGGTGGTGCTTTGAATGGGGATGGGAAGGGGGATGTTTGGACCCTGTGTCTCAGACCCTCTCTCTCTTTCTGTCTGTCTATCTCTGAAACTCCAGCATCCACACAGTCAAGAAGAGGAGGAGGAGGAGGAAGAGGAGGAGAGAATAAATGAAACAGTTTTTGCAACCACATGTTGCTGATTGAGCCGCTGCAGCAGCCACCCTTCCTTTTCTTGTGGCCGCTGCATGTGTAGTTTCCACCACCTGTGGCCACACTCCTATTTCCTCTACGCCACAGAGAGAGAACAAAAAAGGGGCATCTGAGAGAGGTGGAGGAGGAGGATATCTTTCACGACAAGTGGACTTCTGATAGAGAGAAAAAGAGAGAGCGAGAAGGAGCTTACTGCATGCCAAGTTAACGCAAATGAAAGGTAAGATAATGAGAGATCAAAAAAAAGGGGGATCTGCATATCAGATATGTTTTCATGCTGCAGAGTGTCTCTCTGACGGCCCACATCTCAAACAAGCCTGTCATTTGTTTTGAATGAAGAAAAAAGGTCAGCCAGTGTGATGATGATTAAAACTGCCAGTGCCGCGTCTCAGTGTAAACAGACTGCGTTTCAACAGGTGGTTTTCCACAGCATCCGCTCTCTGATTCGACACTAATGAGTTCAGAGGACGCTTGCATTGCTGATAGAAAATGTTCAGAGTTGATGGCAAACCCCAGAG